ATAATTTGAGGAAAAATGACACACAGGACCTTGTCCCAAATTTTAGCAGAACTAACGGTCTCAAATATAGTTTTTTTAACCGTATCGTTGGTGAATGGAATAGCTTACCTAATCACATTAGAGAATCAGATAGTATTGAAACTTTTAAAAAGAATGTTTTAAGTTTTATTAAGGATAAAGATAATTAGGGCATCTATTTTTATATAACTATATAGTTTTGCTATATTAAATGTTTTTAACTAGAGGGGGCAGGTGCGTCAGCGCTTTTGGTCGTCTCCTTATCCACAATATTTCCGTTTATGGTTTTTATTAACCATAATTGTAATTAATACTAATTGTTTGTGTATTCTTGTGGAGTGATTTTGTAATAAATAAAAATAAAAAACAATTTCCCTTTCTCGCAGATTGGTAATGTCAGCCTGGGAAGGTTATTCTGTAAAAGCCAAACAACAAGTATTCAATATCTATGAATATATTCGGAAAAGGAAAACACGATGAAAACAAATGAGATGGAAATTCAAAAGCGAAAAGGTAGAGCAGGTAGAGCTTCACTTAACTGCAGCCGGACAAAGACAAGCTCAATATTATCGATCGCTTGATTCTAACAAGGCACATTAGTCGAAAGACGTAATTTTTTCGTCGCTTTGTCCTTAAACTTTCTCAAAGCTACTCTAAAGATTGTTTGAAAAGGAAGTGAAACGGTGATCGTCAACAGGCAGCAGGCACGAGCAACAAATGAGGTGGTAAAAATCGCGTAAAACAACCTTCGAAGTAAAATCTTCGCTTCAATAAGACATCTAGCTAAAAGGGATCATTTTTGGTTAAATACTTGCCTCATTTTCTTCACCTCGGACATCTTTCCTTCCAAACAGAAAGCTCCCTGCAAAAACTGCGCAAGACAACTCACGCGAGAGCGCGTGATGACAATTGCACTTACTTCATGCAAAATTCATGATGCAAACTGTCTCAAATAGAATCCTCCCGTCATAGAGAATCAATATCAGCTGTTTCCATGTGTCCTCCTCCTTGACTCTCTAACTCATCTGATACGACGGTCAGGAAAATTCTGTCAAGAACGTACTTATTTGTAGCAAATTGGATCCGCCGAGAAGTTATACCTGGGTAATGATCAAGCATTTTATCGAAGCTTCCCTAACTCCCTAAGAGTTATAT